CCCCAAACCCTAAACCCCAAACCCTAAACCCTAAACCCTAAAACCCTAAACCCTGCCTACTCCACAGCTTCTGAAGAGGGCCGATTGGCCTCATAGCCCGTACTAACACTCTTGGGCGAAAAGCAAGCATCTGGCTCCAAGTTTTGATGCTTGGTATAGTCATCGCTAAAGTATCGTATGCTATTGTGCCCTATAAACCCTAAACCCTAAACCCTAAACCCTAAACCCTAGACCCTAGACCCTAAAACCCTAAACCCTAAACCCTAAGCCCTAAGCCCTAAACCCTAAACCCTCCAATGTTTGGGAAGGCACTTCGGGGCACACCTTGCTGGGAACTCACAGGTCGAAGTCTTGTCTCAAGCCCTCAAAGCCCAAACCCTAAGTCCTGCACTAGTACCTTGGGGACCAAAGGAACCCTAAAATTGAGGTCATATACGCTATAACCCTTTGAGGGTTCAGAAAAATGTCCCCAAGGTAAGTATGCGTAATCTAAGCTCTGGCCACAGACGTGCCAGCCAGCGCAGCGTCCCCTTGAGGGGGATGCCCCGCATGATCTCTCCTTGTACGGCTTCTCACTTTGAAGGCTCTGCGGTTGGGTTTAGGGTTTAGGGCTTGGTTTAGAGTTTAGGTTTAGGGTGTAGGGTTCTCCAACACCAGAAAATCCAGAGCCACACCTTTATGGGCCCAGAACCTGGTTCTTGAGTACCGTGGGCCAACAACGGTTAACCTTTATATTATGGTAGGATTATATATACCCCCAAAGGTTAAAGGTTAAAGGTTACCTACCAGCACAGACTTTACGAGCCTGGAGTTTCCTTCCATCAAGCTTCAGCTCGTCCTCGCATATAGTACAAGAGACTTAGTACTGTAGCATTTCCGAGACGCCAAAGCATACCCTGACCCGTACCCTAAATAAACCCTAAACCCTAAACCCTAAACCCTAAACCCTAAACCCTAAACCCAAAACCCAAAACCCAAACTTAACCCTAAAGTAGGGGAGCTTTCGCACGACTTGTTTGTTTTTTGCTTTCCGGGCTTTACCTCGGGGTTTGATGTGGGTTTTCTCCTGTCAGTGTGCGACCATCCTCTCAGGATTCAGGGTTCAGGGTTTAGGGCTGATTCGAAATGCAAGAAGGGTTTCACAGCACGCGCGATGCTTTTCACAATCACAGCCGCGTCTCTGTCTGCATGGAGAGCCGTCTTCAAGAGGTGGCTACGACGGATGTCGGTGTCAGCACGTACGGGACCAACCGTGTCCTGCACATTCGTAAGTTTAGGGTTTAGGGCTTAGGGCTTAGGGCTCAGGGTTTAGGGTTTAGGGTTTAGGGTTTAGGGTTTAGGGGTTAGGGTTTAGGGTTCGTATAGCATGCAGGGTAGTTATGTGTTCAAATCATGTGTAACAGTGCAGCATGCTTTCATGTGCAATAGACTTCTGTGTGCGGCGACTACACCATAGCGCCTTGCGAACTGCGGTATGCACTGTAGGTCCAAGGCCTCTGGCAACTCACTGAAACACGGCTGGGGTTGAGAAACGTGTCTCATCGACTCATGCACCTGTATCATGGTACATGGGAGGGGCATCCATGACTTTCACTTAAGCTCCAAAATCCCCAAAGACCTTGTACAGTATAGTCTTTGGGCCCAAAATCCTTCACACAGGACTCCTCAGATCCTTTGAGTTTTGTTTTCGCACAAACAGGCCTCAACCCGAAAACCTACATACGAAATACCCTAAACCCTAAACCCTAAACCCTAAACCCTAAACCCTAAACCCTAAACCCTAAACCCTAAACCCCAAGGCTAAGATCCTGAACGTGGAGGGTGATGCCGTAGGAGGAGAGCTCCTCAACGCGCTGGACGCTGAAGCTTCGACTTAAACAAAACGACCCCCTGGTTCTTAGTAGGGTTTAGGGTTTAGGGTTTAGGGTTTAGGGCTAGGGAATGAGGGAATGAGGTACCCTATATGTACCCTTTAAGGGATCATATAGGGTACCTCATTCCCTCATCCCTATATGTACCCTTTAAGGGATGATATAGGGTACCTCATTCCCTCATTCCCAACTAAGAGCCAGCCAGACGAAATAGTCTGCTGTTCCTTTACCAATATTGTACGATTCCTTGGTATACTGTGCACCAATATACTTGTGTACTGTACTTTGCCATACCATACTGTACTTTACCATACTATGTCATACTTTGCTGCGCGATGCTTTGTGCTGCTTGGTGGAAAGGTTTGAAGGACAAGCCGACACCCCTTAAACCTCAGACCAAAACCCAAGGCTGACGCACACAGAATGTACACACCAAGCTCTGCGTCCCCTCCCCTATACCCTGGACCAATCTTTACCCTAAACCCTAAACCCTAAAACCCTAAAACCTAAACCCTAAAACCAAAACCCTAAACCCTAAACCCTGAATCTCGAAACGCCCCTCCTCCACGACCTTCCGCATTTGCGGAGAATCGGTGCCCTCATTCTCAATGCCAGCCATCAGGCATCCGAGGAGCTTGCAAAGGCTGATGATATGCAGTATACAGTGTACGATACTACTGTACTAGGCTTAAGGGTTAAGGGTGTAGGGCTTAGGGCTTAGGGTTTAGCGTTTAGGGTACTATCGTATATTGTAGTACACTCTACGTATAGTGTATACCATACGTATGCCCCCCAGAAGGAAAAGTCAGGCTGCGGCGTGTCTGGCTGTAAGGTTTCGGATCAGGCTGAGGGTGGCAGGGCTAAGGATTTTACGTTGAAGTCCGCTTGCCAATGCCTAGGGTTTAGGGTTTAGGGTTTAGGGTTTTGGGTTTAGAGTTTAGAGTTTAGAGTTTAGGGACTCTTCGAGCACATGACCAATCCAGAACTGCGCCAAATGATGGGGAGCTGTGCCTGAGGGTCGAAGAATCAGAGCTACAGAAGGTATACGTTTGCTGTGACGATTGCCAGCACTAGTAGTCGTACTTTACAATTACCATTCCTGAGGCTTTCGCTTCCGCTCTTCTCAACATACTTCTGCCCCACTAGCACTACAACAGCTACTGTTCTCGAGAGAGAAGGAGGAAACTCTCAGCCACTGGAGCTCCAGTTGTCCTCTACATTCTACGTTTGCAGGAAAAAAAGCTCGACTTTCACACTGCTGGAGCTCCCGGGCATTTCCTGAAAGCACGGCTGCGCTGCGCACCCGTTTGTTTTGCCGCTACCACGTAAGATGTAATGACACAAAGTACGAAAACACGCGCGGAACTAAAGCGACACTGACCCGACACATGCTCGATCATTCCAACATTGCAATTACTAGCTGAACAATCGGGCATCGTAGCGTATGGTCTGCTGTGCTGCACTAAACCCTAAACCCTAAACCCTAAACCCTAAACCCTAAACCCTAAACCCTAAACCCTAAACCCTAAACCCTAAACCCTAAACCCTAAACCCTAAACCCTAAACCCTAAACCCTAAACCCTAAACCCTAAACCCTAACCACAAGAAGGGTTTCTTGGTTCATAATGGCTGCACTACAGTGCAGCCAATATTCTAGTTTCTTGTCTTGCAGCTACCTTCAATGGCTATTTACAAGCCTGAAGGCTGGCAGGAGCCTGTCAAGAAATACGCATCGCCCGGTTTAGGGTTTAGGGTTTAGGGTTTAGGGTTTAGGGTTTACTGTTTAGGGTCTAGGGTCCAAAGGGATTAGCTTCGGAGGTCGTAGAGCCACTTTGGGCCCGTGCTTCCGATGCGCATGGAGTCGATGCTGGATGGCCTGGGACACAGCCCCACTTGTGGCAGAGACAAAGCTGCCGCTGACTTGGTCTGCTCACCTCCTGCTCACTGCATTGTGGTTCGATGATGCTGGAAACCCTAAACCCTAAACCCTAAACCCTAAACCCTAAACCCTAAACCCTAAACCCTAAACCCTAAACCCTAAACCCTAAACCCTAAACCCTGAATCCCCCTTTCTCGGATAACGAAGGCGCACACCTCCTTGGTGTCTTGTGGCTGTACCTGCCCGCAGTGTGACATGGGGATTTCGAAAACTAGGGTACCTATTTTGGGGGTCCTTATACCCGGGAGTATACTGAACTTGGGCTATCTAGGGGTACCCTTATTCTGGGAAACCCCATACCCTAAACCCTAAACCCTAAACCCTAAACCCTAAACCCTAAACTGAAATACCCAAATGGGAAGCTCTGGTCTTGAGGACTACAACGCAGCGTGGTGTAGAAAGCCCTTTCAGCCACCGGGCTCGTCTCCAGAGTGGACACAGCGTAGCGCGGTTCAGCAGTTAGGTTTAGGGTTTAGGGTTTAGGGTTTAGGGTTTAGGGTTTAGGGTTTAGGGTTTAGGGTTTAGGGTTTAGGGTTTAGGGTTTAGGGTTTAGGGTTTAGGGTTTAGTGTTTAGGGTTTAGGGTTTAGGGTTTAGGGTTTAGGGTTTAGGGTTTAGGGTTTAGGGTTTACGGTTTAGGGTTTAGGGTTCGGGTGTTAGGGTCGGGGGGGGGGGTTGAGGTTGTGCCCCCCATCCTCGGATGCACAATCTTAGGCTTCTAGGTCAACGGCTCAGGGTTCTGAAGCGCTCTACCTTGTTTCTCTGACGGAGATTCGCGCCCTCCCCGGCCAGGATGGCATGTTCAGTCTCTAGGCTTGCATGCCACGCACCATCTATTCCGGTGCGCCTCCGGCCATGCCTTGGGGACGACATGAACCCTAAAATTGGGGCTCATATACCCTGTACTACTTTTACTCCTATTAAGGTAATATGAACCCATAAAAACCCTTCTAGGGTTCATCATTCGTCCTCATGGTGGAAGCTGCTCTCCTCCCTATCGGGATTCTTGCGGTCGGGCTTCTTCAAAGCTCGCCGACGAAAAAAGGGCTGAAAAGATCGAAAATGCTGGGGGGGCGGCACACTCAGGAGGGTAGCTATAAATTAAACTTTTAGCTGCCTTATTAAGAAACCCAATTAACCCAAAAAGGGTAAGGATCTAAAGTTACAGTAAAGTACCACAAAGGGGGGGCGCCTAGAGTGAGACACTGCTGCGGAGCTTTGCCGCGCTCCCTTCTCTGGATTCACTAGAGCTTCTTGAGGATTGCCTCTTCCTCCTGTCACTGCGCCTTTTGCTGACCCTGGTCTGAAGGAAGGATGGGGCAAACTCGGAGGCGACGGGTATCTCCAAGATGAGACTTCCAACCCATGTGGACAAGATCGAGTCGTACTCCAAGCGCATGCGCCGGGACCTACCCCACTGGAGGCGGAGGTCAAAATCCAGGATCCGGGCCTCGTTACCCTCACGGTTGCACTGGTTCACCACACGCTGCAACTTTGCGAGCTCCCTCCTGTTGAAGAGCTCCGAAAGAGAGAGCTGGGACCCCTCCCTGTCCCTGAGCTGGGCATCTGTAGCCAAGCCATGAGCTTTTAGGGCATCTTCAATGGGCCCCTCCATCTCGAGCACCTCAAAACTCGGGACTTCGATGAGCATCACCGCTTCGATCGGTGTAGGGTATCTGGGGGACTGCTGCGCCAAGGGCGCCACGGCGGAGGAATCCGGGAATTCGCGCAATCCGACCAATTTCCGAACCCCCTCCGGATGCTCGAAGCGGATGTGCAAGAGCTCCACCTCCACCTAAAGGACGACATGAACCCTAAAAGGGTGATCATGTGCCTGAATAGGAATTAGACTAGTCAGGGTAGATGATACCCAATTCTAGGGCTCTTTTGGTGCCCAAGGCACTTGGTTGGAGAGCGAGTCCATGATCCTGGCATTCAGCGCTTGTGGGAGCGAGTCCGATGCGTCCTCGGATCGTAAGCATGTCGCGACGCGATCACGATCAGCCGGGCAAAAGTAGCTGATGAAGTCGTTTCGCGAGGGGAACGCTCCGCCTCCATGCAGGAGCATGGTGGTGAGCTGACTGACATCGCCGCACAGCTGCAGACACGCATCCAGCTCCACAACTGCGTCGCAAAAGCCTCGCAGAAGTCGCAGGGCCGATTTCAGCTCAATCGTGCTGTTTCGCAGGTCCAGCGAGGTGCGAATGTTTGTATACACAAGCTGCCTCACGATGTATGCGACGCATGCGACTGAAAAGTGCAGGATCACTTGTACGCTGGCCTGTTCCTTGGGGGACGAAATGAACCCTAAAATTGGGGGTCATGTACCCTGACTACTATGATTCCTGTTAAGGTATGTGACCATTAACCCTTTGTAGGGTTTTTTTTTAACATTAAAAAACCCTAGATACTCCTATAATTCCTATAAAGGTATATGAAAGGTAAACCTTTTTAGGATTCAGAATTCGGCCCCAAGGTTCCGCGAAGGGCCTCTCGTTGATGCGCACAAGCACGACTGCCCCATGCAGAGCGTTCAAAGAGCAGGGCAGCCAAAAGCGCTGAGCGGCCAAACAGCACACCAACCTTAAGGGAATGAACCCTAAAATTGGGGCTCATAATGGCTCATATACCCTATACTACTATAACTCCTACTTAAGGCCTATTAGAACCCGTAAAAACCGCTTTATAGGGTTCGCAACTTCTCCCCAAGGAGCCGCGTCAGCAAGCTCCGGTGTGCTGTAAAGCTTGTTTCCTCAGGATCCGAGTCCAGCAGGGGTGGTGCCGAAATGCAGAGGAAGGTCATGGTCGTCCACAAGTCCAGGGTCCTTGGGGTGACGACGGCCGTGCCGCAGGTGAACCACACCAATCCGAGGGAATACAACGCCACGCAGGACAGGATCGGAACCACCGGAACCATCTCCGGGAGCCCCTGGAAGTAGTAATATTCCATTGAGCAGAACCTTGCAGCGGACGAATTATGAACCCTAAAATTGGGGGTCATGTACCCTGACTACTATAAGTCCTGTTAAGGTACATGAACCATAAACCCTTTTCAGGGTTCATAATTCGTCCCCAAGGAACCATATAAAGTACCCCAGCAGCAGCAAGCCACTGCCGTAGCTCAGGAGCCTGCACTGTGCCTCCCGAAACTTCATGTCCGCCAAGTCCGTCCGCTGGCTAGCGAAGAGGCCCGCCAGCCTAGTTCATTATTGGGATCATATTAAAAATTTTAATTTTTGTAAATTCCTTATTGAGTTTAAGTACCCTTAAACATGTAAAATGTTACCCAACTATGACAAAGCAGCCAAGACAGCAGCCCTCGCAGGGAAGTACCCCTGCAAAGGAGCCGGCCGACATAGGCCGCCAGCAGCACAAGCGTGATCGCTTGCAGCAGGCACGCGCTAAGGATCGCGACGCCCACCAGGTCCATGGGGCTTTGCTCAGAACGGCCCCTACACACATAGGCTTAGGCATGCATTCTTGTATGTATGCATGCATGCATGCATGCATGCATGTCTGCTTGGGTGCATGCATGCGTGCGTGCATGCAGTGTCTAGTCGCAGCTACTTGTCTGTAGAATAGTATGTATATATAATATGAACGTATAATTTCTCATCAACGCATCTGCTTATTCGCCTATGAACTGCTGAATTGGCAGCCGCCACAGTTGAACCAGCAGGACAGGCAGCGCAGCTCAAACCCCTACGCTGGTACACACCTTTAGCCTACCACGGTGCTGTTGCTGTTGCTTGCTGTTGCGTGCTGTTGCTTGCTGTTGCTTGCTGTTGCTTGCTGTTGCTTGCTGTTGTTTGCTGTTGCTTGCTGTTGCTTGCTGTTGCTTGCTGTTGCTTGCTGTTGCTTGTTCTTGTTGCTGTTTGTTGCCGTTTGTTGCTGTTTGTTGCTGTTGGTTGTTGTTGCTGCTGCTGTTGTTGTTGTTGTTGTTGTTGTTGTTGTTGTTGTTGTTGTTGTTGTTGTTCTTGTTCTTGTTGCTGTTCTTGTTGGTGTGCTGGTTGTTGTTCTTGTTGTTGTTCTTTGTTGTTGTTCTTTGTTGTTGTTCTTTGTTGTTGTTCTTTGTTGTTGTTCTTTGTTGTTGTCTTTTTGTTGTTGTCTTTTTGTTGTTGTTCTTTGTTGTTGTTCTTTGTTGTTGTTCGTTGTTGTTGTTCTTTGTTGTTGTTCTTTGTTGGTGTTCTTTGTTGTTGTTCTTTGTTGTTGTTCTTTGTTGTTGTTCTTTGCTGTTGTTCGTTGTTGTTGTTCTTTGTTGTTGTTCTTTGTTGTTGTTCTTTGTTGGTGTTCTTTGGTGTTGTTCTTTGTTGTTGTTCTTTGTTGTTGTTCTTTGTTGTTGTTCGTTGTTGTTCGTTGTTGTTCGTTGTTGGGTGTTTGTTGTTGGGTGTTTGTTGTTGGGTGTTTGTTGTTGGGTGTTTGTAGTTGGGTGTTTGTTGTTGGTTGTTTGTTGTTTGATGTTGGTTGTTGGTTGTTGGTTGTTTGTTGTGTGTTGTTTGCTGTCTGTTGTCTGTTGTCTGATGTCTGTTGTCTGTTGTCTGTTGTTTGTTGTTTGTTGTTTGTTGTTTGTTGTTTGTTGTGTGTTGTGTGATGTGTATTGTGTGTTGTTTGTTGTTTGTTGTGTGTTGTTGTGTGTTGTTTGTTGCTTGTTATTTGTTGTTGTTGCTGTTGCTGTTGCTGTTGCTTGTTGCTGTTGTTGTTGTTGTTGTTGTTGTTGTTGTTGTTGTTGTTGTTGTTGTTGTTGTTGTTGTTGTTGTTGTTGTTGTTGCTGTTGCTGTCGTTGTCGTTGTGGTTGTGGTTGTTGTTGTTGTTGTTGTTGTTGTTGTTGTTGTTGTTGTTGTTGTTGTTGTTGTTGTTGTTGTTGTTGTTGTTGTTGAAGCACTACCAGCTCAAGCCGCCCGCGCATGGTAGCTGTCGAACCGGCCAAGGCCCCGAACTTCATCTCATTAACAGTTTTCGGGGCCCACCTAACATCTCAAGGCTTTCTAGCTCTTGCCAGCTGATGGTCACTTTGAGGCTTTAGCCTCTTGCAATTGAGATTCTGCCGCAGACAGCATATCCACGAGCTGGCCCGGTCCCAATTCCGGGGGGGAGACATAGATCGTCTTAGACTGCATCTATCACTCCCAAGTGTGAGGGTTCTCGTCTTTCCGCAGGACGAGGGGAGTCTGATCGTGCCTCGGCACTTCAGGCAAAACAAGCGGATGGCAGAGGGGATAATTTTGAGGCTTTTACAATGGATGACGGGTTTTTCTATGCGCTGGTTCACAAAGCAGAGCAATGGTGTTCTTAGTTCATGCAGGTCTTACCGCGGCTTGACAACAATCAACAGTGCTTTTATTTCAGTGGCATGTCTACAGATGCTGTCCGACGAAGCGGTCCTACTAGCGGGAGCCTCGAGCCCCAGCCAAGTTGACGGAGACAAGCCTGAGTCCCTGCTGCGCTAGCGGCAGATCTCTATACGGCCCTTCATCATTGCCTCTGGTACTCGGAAGCTGAAGTCGGACGGCACTGGCCAATGCGTATTTGCAAATCTGGTATTGTTCACAGTTCAGGCGAGAAAGTCTTCTGATGTTTCATCACCAGCTTTGAGGATGCCGCGCAGCAGTTTCAAGTTTGAGGGGAAGCCATTTACCCAACGTTTCTCAATGTATTCTACTCCAAGCCTTCAGTACTGAGCTAGGCGGGCTGGCGCGGCCAGCGCTTGGCGCGGCTGCAGACCTAGGGGAGAAGGTCGTGACGGCCCGCTTGCTCCAGGAGAAGCTCTTGAGTGGTTACGCAGTCCAAAAGAACTCCGCTGGGACACTCAGTGCAAGGGTATTAGCCCCGAAAGCTATGCTCGCACGCTTTTACATAACGCTCTCCTCGGCTTGTTTCTTCGCTGCGCTTGTGCTCTCAACGTCACACCAACCCACCTTGAACCCAACACCCTACACACTTTCACTTGCGCATCTTCCAATCAATGCTGGTGAGAAGGCCAACATTTCAGCCTAGTAGTCCCGTTCGTCGGGTCAGGCTCATGCAGTGCCTAGTAGTCCCGCTCGTCGGGTAAGGCAGCAAGATGTAACTTTCATTTCTTTGCTTGGTCAAGACAGCCTAGTAGTCCCGTCCGTCGGGTGAGGCAGTGCTGTGGCCTAGTAGTCCCGTTCGTCGGGTAAGGCACTGAAGAATGATGCTAGCTGGTTGCCAGTTGTTATTTCAGTTTCTTTAACTCACACTGCAGTGACAGCGGCCTGAGCGAGAATATCTCTGAAAAAGGCGTTCTCCATGAGAAGCCTAAGTTTCCAGCTCAGTGCTTTCACGCCATCCTACGCTAGCAGAAGCGGCCTGAGCCATAATTTTCCTCTAGTGAGGTCGCCTCCTGAACTTTAGCCTACGCAACTTCTTAGCAGGGTTTCACAGCTCAGACTTTTCCGCTTCATTTGCTCATTCTAGGCTGTGGTTGTGTAGCTGCCTTGTAGCCTTGTTTGTAAGGCCTTGAGTCCGGATGGCTCAGCTGAACCAGTAGTAATCCCCAAATGGGGCGGAACATGGCAGCTTTGGACTGATGGCCAAACACTTAGTTGTCAGTAGTTTCTTGAAGCAGCCGCTTAAGCCATAAGCACCACTCTGGAGCTACTGCTTTTCCTTACCTGCACGTTTCGTCGCTCATATCTGCTGCATCAGCAGAGCCTGAGCGAGGGAGAGTTTTGTCTAGTAGCAGCTGCCCATAGTCTTAAGCGCTAGCTCTTCTTCTCAACTGACCGAGCATTTAAGTCGGGGATAACCCCTCCGGAACTGTGAATAATACTTTGATTGATTGCTCTGCTTTTTGAACAACTGCACTGCTCTACTCATGGGTTTTGGGTTTCAGGTCGTGTTTTCTTGTCGGTTCGTAAAGTGCAAGGTGCAGTTTTTGCCTGCTGTACACGGACTTGGTCAAAAAATCGTGTGAGGTCCCCCTCCTGGCTAAAGTCCACCGTGTTGCAGCTAGTTTGTGCAGAGTGCAGTTTTGCCTGCTTTGCACGGCCGGGTCACCATTGTACAGTTGATGAAAATTGACATCGTGCTTGTGAAACCGCGTGAGGTCTCCTCCTAGTCCACTGACCTCCGTGTTGCAGCTAGTCTAGCCCAGCTTTTGGCGACAGCTGCCGGGCAAGACAGTCAACAAATGCGCTTTTCTTGTCCTGCCTTTTTCATTCGTTTGCTAGAGGCTTTACCTTACACACAGCGCTCAAGTTGACTTAGAATTAGCCGTCATTTTAAGTCATTCTACCCCTCGATGCCCGCCAAGGTGTGGGACATGACCCGCACATGCGTCCGAAATGAAATGAAAAAAATGTTGTTGTTGTTGTTGTTGTTGTTGTTGTTGTTGTTGTTGTTGTTGTTGTTGTTGTTGTTGTTGTTGTTGTTGTTGTTGTTGTTGTTGTTGTTGTTGTTGTTGTTGTTGTTGTTGTTGTTGTTGTTGTTGTTGTTGTTGTTGTTGTTGTTGTTGTTGTTGTTGTTGTTGTTGTTGTACGTTGCTTTCCGTCGTCAGATTTAGTGTTTGCTCCCCACGGGTGGAAAAATGACACAGCAGCAGCCACAAAAACCACAACTGCTTGTTTGGGGCGGAAGGTTTTTCCGGCTCCAGGATGTTAGCCTTCGGGGGCTAGGCTTAAGACCCCCAGAGCCTAAACCCCAAACCCTAAACCCTATAAACCCCAAACCGTAAACCGCAAACCCTCAACGCTACCACGCGTCTAGCCACACCCTTGGGGACGAAATGAACCCTAAAATTGGGGGTCATATACCCTTATAATTCCTGTTAAGGTATATGAACCATAAACCCTTTTAGGGTTCATGATTCGTCCCCAAGGACCTGCAAGAGGTACGATCTCGGGCTGCCGCGAAAGTCTGTGGCAGTTCCAGCCGTGGCTTCTATTTTGAGGTTGCCTAAACCCTAAACCCTAAACCCTAAACCCGTAAACCGTAAACCCTAAACCCTAAACCCTAAACCCTAAACCCTTTTCATGCTCCACGGGTATGAAATGACGTAGAGGGGGCATGGAGCTCGAAGTTCCGGGATGCTGTCTGCATCTCTTAATAATATCTTCAATATCCTCTTGGGTTTTATATAAACAAAAATACTAAATCATTCCCCAAAGGGTATATAAACAAAAATACGAAATCATTCCCCAAAGGGTATATAAACAAAAATACTAAAAAAAACTCCCCAAAGGGTACATAGTTAAGGCACTCTCAGCCGAAGCTTTTGGCGCTCGTTGCCGGCGGTGAGCATGGTGGGGTGCTGTATTGGGCAGGACAAGCCAACAGCCCAAGCCTCCCCCTCCGTCAGCAGGCTTAGTTGTCCAGTACCTAGGGCTTTTAAAGGTTAACCTTTGGGATTCTATAAGGGGAATATACTAACCCAAAAAGGTTAAAGGTTAACCTTTGGGATTCTAAGGGGAATATACTAACCCAAAAAGGTTAAAGGTTACCTACTCTACTACTAAGGCAGGCCTCTGCGGGGGGCGCAGAAGAAGAATGGAGCTGAACCAGCCTGTCAGTGTCAGGGTTGCAGTATTTGATATGCGCTTTTGTGCCGGTCTTGGACCACCGAAGGCTTTTGGAATTCGTACACAGCTGCAAGATGTTGTAAGTAGACATCTTTGCCGTCCAGGGGCGCGCCGGACATCATAGCCATGACCAAGAATGCCAAACTTGAAGGCTCTCACTTGGCTCTCTCCCCTCTTTCCCCGATGTCGTATGCCAGTTCGGGAGCCCCAAAGCCTTGAAAGCCCCCAAACGCCCTGAAACACCCGAATCCCTTGAAGGAGCCTCCCCGGCGAATTTTTCTTGTAGCGCAGCAGGCGGCCTGCCAAAAAAGGTCCAGACTCCGCGCGCAGGTGTTCGGGCTTGGTGGCTGGGTTTAGAGTTTAGGGTTTAGGGTTTAGGGTTTAGGGTTTAGGGTTTAGGGTTTAGGGTTTAGGGTTTAGGGCAAAGTTTAGGGTTTAGGGTTTCGGGCCTGTGTTAGGCCCAGCTTCGGGGTGCAGGCTGTAGGGTTTCTCCTTTTTTATTCACCTTCTGCGCTGCTGCTTCTGAGACAAATCGAGGAATGCACATGTGTTCATGTGTTGAAAAAGAAATCTAACTCGGGCTCAACCACAGCAGTGCAGCGACAACATGTTTCATATCCTCTTGGGTTTTATATGAACAAAGACTTTTTCTTCACACCAACTGCCGAGAGCCGTCAACCGCTGAGGTCGTAGCTTGAAACTCAGTCTCCCCGTACCCATCTGTACCTCAAAGACCCGTTGACCCAAGGACACGCTAGCTGCCAGCTCCCATAATCACCCAAAACCTACTAGGTACTACTAGGTTGCCTAAGAATCCTATAAGGGCTTTCTTTAATAGCAACCTACAAAGATGTAGGTTTTGGGTTCTTAAGGTCCCCACTAAGATCACTAAGGGCATCCAGAAGACCATAGAAAGTACAGGGAGACACGATGAGACGTGTTTTGCAGGCCGGAACTTAAAACGCCAGACAAACGTGAGGGGTCACTTCAATGTCACTTCAACCACTGCATCAGCGTGTTAGCAAATGCATCAGGACGGCCGACACGCAGGAATCCCCAGGCAAATTGTCACTGATAGCTGGGGACACCCGCAGGCCAAGACGAAGCTTGACGAAGGCAAGGGGGGGTTTTATACGAAGGCCACGGCTTTTGCGGGAGGCTGTTTGGCATCCTACCAAACTACCAAATCCTACCCCCAATAAGCCGTCCTGATCGGCAATTGCCCCTGAAGCATCACCCTCGCACAGTCCTGCCCTCTAGAACCTACAACCCGGAAGTCGACATGTGCAGCCGTGAAAAGCTGCAAGACATTGTAAGACCTGGAAGGAATGCGAGGTTTTGCACCAGGTTTTCTGCGCCAGCACCCGAGAGTTCTGCTTTGCAAACTCCATTTTGGCAAAAGCTGCGGGGTATCAGAAGGCAGGAGATCACAACTGTAACTACAGTCAGGAGACTTGCAGGTTCTGCATCTAGCAATTGTCTGGTCTTCCTTGATGGATTTCCTTTGATCACCCTGCATTGTTCGGCAAAAAAGCCTGCACGCTGCGCAATACAGTTAATACATGCTGACGCTGCGAACTGCACGTCGGGCAGTCAACAAGTTCATACTCCTGCTTGAAATTCAGAACCTTGAGGACTACATGAACCTTGAAATTGGGCTCATGCACCCGATACGACCAGAGTCTCTATAAGAGTATGTGAGCCATAAACCCTGTTAGGGTTCATTTCGCCCCCAAGGAATTGTTGAACAGCTGCAGGGCGCATTCGCACAATTTGGGGGGGGGGGGGGACGGTATGCGCTCGCGCCCTGCTTCACGGACTCTGGCGTAGTGAAACTCACGAGCCGAGGCCTATTCATGCGAGGTTGTGGTGTTAACTCTTGTCAACTCCAGAAGCTTCAGTATGAAAGTAGAAGAGGTTGTGGTGTTATCTCTTGTTAACTCTAGAAGTTTCAGTAAATAGAAGAAGGCCAGTGTAGATGGTAGTAGCCCTACTCAAGCCTAGATCGACATGATTTCATCATCGTCGCTCGGCTTCTGCACCTGCTCATCAGCGACGCTGATGGCTGGCAACTCAAGTCCTCTCCCTCGCTTCGGGGTAGGAGCCGAAGAGTTTTGGGCGGCCTCCTGGTTCAGGAGGTCGTCGAGACAGAAGATGTCGGAACTCACAGCTACCACAAGCGCCTGAAAGGGGCCGGACACTTCCTTGGGGCTGTCGGCCTCCTTCTGCAAGGTGGAGGTAATGCGCACCTCCAAGCGGGCGCGCAGTAGCTGAGAGTCGTGCCGCAAGGGGAGGCTGCCAATGAAGCCGCCCGCGACGTCTGCCACCAGCAGCTTCTCAGTCGACCTTGGGGCCGAAAGGACCCCCTAAAATTGTGGCCATATACCCTATACGACTGTAACTCTTATGAAGGTATACTCCTATTAAGGTATATGAACCCTAAGCCCTTTTAGGGCTCATACTTCGTCCCCAAGGGACAGGATCCCAAGGCTGGGATCAGAGACCCAGAGCATGACCGCTTGAGACCTTGTCACCTTCAAGCACATCTTGGAGAGGTCCAGGGAGCCCTCTGGGTGCTCTTGCTGCGGGTTCCTCTACTCCCCATAGAGAACCTTAACAAAAATAGTATTCTTCATATCCTCTTGGGTTTCACAATAAACAAAAAACAAAGAAAATCATTCCTTAACAAAAATAGTATTCTTAATATCCTCTTGGGTTTCCTAATAAACAAAAAAAAGATTCCCAGGGTGGACATAGGTTCAGCGAGCACTCCACTGAAGTCTGAGGGTGCCCGACGACCTCCCAGCGGAGGGCGCGGAGCCCTGGGAGCCCGCGGAGTGCAGAGCTGCCCTCGGCCTTGGGGAGTTAGGGTTTAGGGTTTAGGGTTTAGGGTTTAGGGTTTAGGGTTTAGGGTTTAGGGTTTAGGGTTTAGGGTTTAGGGTTTAGGGAGGAGTTAGATGAACCCTAAAAGGGTTTGGGGTTCATATATATATTACCTTAATAGGAAGGAAGTCGAGTAGTCCCTAAAAGAAGGGTTTAGGGTTCATATATATACCTTAATCGGAATTCGAGTCGTCCCTAAAAGTGTTTAATTACGGTTCATATATACCTCAAATACAGTAGGACTCAGAGTAGTCATAGGGTACATGACCCCAGTTTTCGGGTTCCTAATTATTAGGAACCCTAAGACTGGGGTCCTATACCCTATGACTACTAGGAGTCCTACGGTACTTGGTCCCCAAGGTGCCCTAAACCCCAAACCCTAAACCCTAAACCCTAAACCCTAAACCCTAAACCCTAAACCCTAAACCCTAAACCCTAAACCCTAAACCCCAAGGTGCCTTGAAGACATCGGCGTCGCCGACCAGGGCGACTTCGGCCAGGCGCACCTCGAAGGCCTCGGCCTCCTCTTGAGGCCAGTGCCCCTTCTTTCCTTGGGGTTTAGGGTTTAGGGTTTAGGGTTTAGGGTTCAGCCCAGTATATGCAGCTGTTAATGAGGGCACCCTTCTTGGGGTTGGTTGCTTCATAAGGGAACCGAGAAACAAAAAAAAAAGATATATGGTTGCCCAGTAGCCAGGGCACCCTTTTTGGGGTTGGTTTCTGCCTAAGGGAACTTAGAACCCAAAGAAGGGTACCACTGGGCCATCAGGAGTCCTTTTGTGCAGCAGGAGATCATGAATCGCAGCCCAGCCTTGGTGAAGGGAACCACCACCGTTGCGATCGCTATGTTCGTCGCAGCGGTGGCCAGCCACTTCCTTTTCTAACCCCCCCCTTTAAAGGGCTTAGGTCATATGCTTCATAAAACCCCAAAGGGGCCTTGTGCTTCATGAAAAGGATTTGTGTTAACATAATTCCTTATAGTGGGGATTCATATTTGGACCCCCAAGGTTCAGCCCGTCCGTCTCACTGACATTCGCCAGGAAGAGGCAGATGATCGTGAGGCAAGTGAGGAAGTAGGCAAGCGCCACGCTCCAGAACCACATCGGGGACATGGCGCTGGCCACCCCTAACACGTGGGCGGGAATCTTCGCGAAGAAGAATGCGTAGGTGGCAGTGACGGAACTTCGGAGGATTGTCCCCAGGAAGCCCCCAAGACCGCCCTCACAGTCTGCACCAAAACCTGGTGCCGTCGATGTCGTGCTGAAGAAGATCGCGGAGAACGCCCATGACACATACACTTTCAGCATCACCGTGCTGATTCTTCGGAAGCTGCTCGCACCCTTGGAGGGCGCGAGAAAGTTCACCCACCCGCACACGGAGAAGAAGATGAGGCCTGCCTGATGGAAGGAGTACATCTGCTCGAAACTCTCCAAGGCAATCTCTGCCTGGGCATGCAGCTCTGTCCGCCCAGCCACATTGTAGAGCGCGTCGAGCTGGGCGAAGTTCACGCCGAGCTCCGACACGACCACGTCGGAGTGAGCGTGGTCAGCGTACGCGTTCGTGAGGTTTATGCAGGCCGTCCAGCCTTTGCAGGAGCAGCAGGCAAAGAAGCCACCCAGCAAATCCTCCAGCGCCTCAACGGCGACGAGGCACGGTGCCCCGCAATGCAGCAGGAACCTTGAGGGCCAAACGAACATACCCTGACTACTATACTTCCATTTAAGGTATTATACATGAACCATAAAAAACCTTTTTGACTATACTTCCATTTAAGGTATACATGAACCATAAAAAACCTTTTTGAATATACTTCCATTAAGGTACATGAACCATATAAAACCTTAATTGAAGAGGGTTCTCATCGAGTCCCCAAGGAACCGACCGACCGAGCCGCACTTCGACTTGGCCTTTGGAAGGCACCTGAAATATGCCTGCAGCTCCAGCTTCCTTGGGGGGACGAATTATGAACCCTAAAAAATTGGGGGTCACATTTACCCTATGACTACTCTAATTCCTGTTAAGGTATATGAGTATACCCTGACCTACTCTAATTCCTATTAAGGAAATATGAGCCATAAACCCCTTTTTAGGGTTCACAATTCGTCCCCCAAGGCTCTTCTTCCTGTTCCTGGCGTCGGCCGCACGGGCTGCGAGGAGCAGCCCAGCGGCTGCGAGCAGTGAGATCCAGTGGACCGCCGCGCTGAGCTGCCCCATCCTTGGGGACGAACCCTCAAAGGGTTTAGGGTTTAGGGTTTAGGGTTTAGGGTTTAGGGTTTCGGGTTTAGGGCTCATATTACCTTAATAGGAATTAGAGTAGCAGTCAGGCTACATGACCCCCCCAATCCTATAGGGCTCATACTTCGTCCCCAAGGATCCATCCGAAGCTGAGCATGGCGCCGAAGCCGACTTCTGAGAAGAGCGCCGGGGCATTGCCGCAGAGAAGTTTGTTGACGACGGCGGACCTTGGGGGACGAAATATGAGCCCTAAAAAGGGTTTAGGGTTCATACTACCTTTGATAGGAATTATAGTAGGCAGGGTACATGACCCCCAATTTTAGGGTTCATAATTCGTTTGCAAGGGACACGATGACTGTGAAGATGGAGAGGTGGGTGGTAGAGCATGAGACGGTGCCATTCACCACGCCCAGGGTCCTCACGCCTTTGCTGGACCAGTCTTCGGATGCCACATCCCAGAAGACGCAGCGAAGAACCTCATTCTCCTTGAGCTCATTGTTGGTGTAGTTGGTCTCCAAAGAGAAGAGCAGTGGCCTTGGCAGCTCAGTGACCTCCCCGTCATGTCGAACGAGCCCGATGCTGATGACCTGCGCGGCGAAGGTCGCCAAACCATTCACTTCCGCAAACGCTCCAGACGCCTCTGCAAGGACCGCAATGCTGAGCACAGTTGTCCCATTGATAGCCAGAGACTGCAAGTCCGGTGTGATCGTCACCACCGCACTCTCGAAGGCAACCGTCACGTTCACCACGTTGTCACTCCCAGGCTCAGAAAGCCGCTGGGCCAGCGTCCTGGTGCCGCCTACCTCCCTTCGAATCATGTCCCCTTCTTGCAGGTTCTGCATCACGAACTCTGTGAGTTCATCCTGATACCTTTCCAAGCCAAAGACTCCATCCAAGCTCTCATTGCCTGCAAAGGTAGGGGTGGTGCTGGACAGCGTTGTGGTTGAGGATGTCCAGCTCGAAGACGACGAAGAGGTCGTGCTACGAGAGGCGGTAGAGCTGCTCGTGGACGACCTTGTGCTGCTCGTGGTCGAAGATGTACTGCTGGAGCTGCTGGAAGTGCTTTTGGACGTGCTGGAACTGCTGGAGCTGCTACTAGAAGATGTACGACTGGAGCTGCTGGACGTGCTACTGGACGAGCTGGAACTGCTCGTGGATGACGTTGTGCTGCTTGTGGTTGAAGATGACGTCGTAGAGCTTGTTTTGGTACTGGAAGTGCTAGAAGTGCTTGTGGAAGTGCTACTGGACGTGCTAGAACTGCTGGACGTGCTACTCGATGTGCTAGAACTGCTCGCGGAGGTGGTTGTACTGCTTGTGGCTGAAGATGACGTGCTTGTACGTGTGAATGAGCTGCTGGATGTGCTGGTTGAAGTGGCGCTTCGACTCGACGTGCTAGTGCTTGACACGCTGCTTGTTGTGCTTGAGGTGGTCAGTGAAGTTCTGGAACTTGAAGTGGAGCTGGCCGTTGTAGTGGTCGTCGTTTCCACGCATTGGCACTCGGCACTGGTCAGGGCAATGGACGCCGCATTGGAGACAAGAATGTAGCCAGAGCTGCAGGTGAGGGTACTGCAGGCCACGTCACAACAGGCTGATGTAGTGGATCCCACACTGCTGGAAGCACTTGCCTTCTGGACGTATCCCGATGGACAACCATATGAAGAGCAGAGTGCGTCACAGCACATGCTTGTGGACGGGAACTCACTTGTAGAATAGAGACTTTGTGGATTGGCCTTTAGCTGATACCCTGATTCGCAGCTGAAGTAAACGCAGTTGTAGTAGACGAGCCCATATCCACCCGAATCCTCACACCCATTTTCGACAGGGTCCGTTAGAGAGATCCGGAAGCTGCGCATGACATCCGAACCATAACTTGACTGACCGTTGCCTGGTGGCGCGATTGCCCCGCTGTACTCCAATGTCGAGCAGCTGTCGTCCGAATAGTACTCGAATGTTACTCCCGCCGCGATGTCGGCGGCCCAAAAGGTGTATGAGACACACAAATCTATGTGACCGCAGGAAACGGTCCATCCAGCAGTGTTGCTGCCCTGCGGACAGAAAATCGTCTGGAAGGAGGTGGGCGCGACGCACGAGTCAACGAAGGGAAGCCAGGACAGCAGCTGGAAGAGCTTCCATGCCATGGCCGCCATGGCCCAGCAGCTTTTGGATCCACATGCGGTGCTGCTACTAGTAGTAGGTGCTCGAAGCAGTAGTAGCAGTAGTAGTCGTCATCGTCGTCGTCATACCCGTACTGCTACACCGTGTGCACAAGCTGCAAAGGCGTGCAAAGAGTCTGCAAGACGTTGATTAGCTCAGGCCTCACACTGCAAGCCAAATCGGGCATCAATACTACCCCGCAGACGTCCCACACCATGCCAGACCATGCGAGCAAGCAATTCTTCGCTCGGGCTCCGTACGTGAATTGGTCAAGAACAAGCGCGGTCGAGACGTTCGCTTCGCACCTGCAAAGTGCATGTCGGCCCATTGACTTTTCTCGCTAGTTCTAGATGACGATGATGGAAGTTCACAGAACACAGACCAAACAGCGCGAGAAACAAGAAGCTTTAGAAGCGAAGGCGGAGGCCAATGCTTGACAGGCACATACCTCTCTCTCTCTCTCTCTCTCTTTCACTCTCTGCACAAAGCTAAAGGGAACATGTCAGACAGACAGACAGACACACAGACACACAGACACACACAAGGACAGACAGACAGACACACAGACACACACACACACACACACACACACAAGGATAGACAGACAGACAGACACACAGACACACACACACAAGGACAGACAGACAGACACACA